TACTTAAATTGCTAGTAATTACAAACTTAGTCCTTTCAGATGATAGTATCTTCCAAGTCAGCATTTTATATTCTAAATTTTTATATGGTAAATTTTATTTCTTTATGTAAATAAGAGTTATTTCATTTAAAAAGCTCAGCTGTGATATTTATTCTATGTAAATTCCTCTGTGACCAATTCTTGGGTAGGAAGCACCACTGTGGACCACTTTTCTTTTCTTTCTTTCTTTTTTTAATAATTCTTTATTGTTATGTTAATCACCATACATTACATCATTAGTTTTTGATGTAGTGTCTCATGATTCATTGTTTGTGCATGACACCCAGTGCTCCACGCAGAATGTGCCCTCTTTAATACCCATCACCAGGCTAACCCATCCCCCCACCCCCCTCCCCTCTAGAACCCTCAGTTTGTTTTTCAGAGTCCATTGCCTCTAATGGTGTGGACCACTTTTCTTACAGTGGCAATACCTTTTAGAATTTTAAGGAAAAGGCCTGGAAGAAAAGAACTCCCTTAACTGTAAAAATAGAGTATCACAATGACACGTCAGATTTACAGGAAGTCTTAATTGATTTATAAATCTCTTTTATACTATGGTAACAGTGATTTTAGCTTTTTTTGGTTTAGTTTTTTCAGCTTTGTTGTGTCATTTTCTTTGCTTTTTAAAAGGTTTCCCTGTAAGTTTTCTTTTTTAGTGTTCATTACTAATTTTCCTGTAATTGAGCCTTCAAAGTCTTCTACTTTCTTGCTGAAATAATCTTAAATAAATTGGTTGTTTTTAAAAATTTTTATTTACTGCCTCTGGATGTTTTATTTCTTACCCATAGAAATTATTTGCTCTTCTTTTATCCCACACACAGTTCATAAAACACTGATTTCTTTGTAGACCTATGATACATCTTGTTTCTATTTTTTTCTTAAGTTTATACTTCTGACTTAGTAGGAAGGTATTTAGGTTCATTTTTCAATGTAGGTTAGCATCCTGGATTACTCATATGTGACCTTGTCCATGTTATTTAACCTCATTTATTTTCACTTTTAGGAGGACAATTATGCATTTTCCTCATAGGATTGTTAGAGAATAGTTTAAAAAATGAAAGCCAATTGTTTCTATTTTTTCTTACATGCTTTATTGGTAAATACTGAACCACTCATTTGTAAGTAGGGAATAAATATTTCTCTAATCTTGGAATGATAGTTTTGTAAGCATTTAGCCTTATTAACACTAAAGTATTAAAAATTATAGTAAAGGTTAGAAAGACCATCTGAAAATACAGGCCCACTTTACAACATCTACAATAAATATTTTTACAGCTTCTGGCAAAGAAGTCAGAGATCCAAATTGTACTCTTTTGTAATTAAATGATATATAGAAAGGAGCATTGTTTTTTAACTGTGAAAGATGGAACTGTAAGCTTCCCATAACAGAGCCTGATTGTTAGAATTACACATATTAATTGTTGATTCCTTTAAAAGCAGACTATTTTTTTTTCCTTCCCACTGAGCCCATCTCTGTTATTTACACATTACATAATGGTTGTTGGTTATGCCAGACTCTACGGAAGCACTTACAATTCATTAAAGAGATTAGTCTAAAAAATTTTTCAGTGTTCTCCCATTTTAGTATGTACTAATTCTTACACACATTTATTCAGAGGCTCATAGACTTAAACCTTAGTATCTACTTCTATTAGTTCAGTCAGGAGGTGTCCACATCATTGATTTTCAAACGTGTTTTTTGTTGGTTTGTTTGTTTGTTTCCCTTCTATATAGTTCCCTTTTAGAGCACAGCACCTCTTCTGAGTTACTAACCACTGGCCTACACGGTTCATAGTAGTGACCCAAGTCAATTGGACATTTAATAGTGGAAAAGTAAGCAGTTCTTTGATAAGACCATGCTAAGGTAAAAAGATGTTTGAGTTGGTTCTCATAGATCTACAATTAATATCTAAGAGAGTACACGATCCACATAGTTTAACATTTGCTGGAAACATAAGGCTCAAGCTAGCTGTTTCGTAGTACTTCAGACAGATGTGATCAGATGACTACATTTTTTTTTTTTTTTTTTTTTAGCTCAGGTCATAAGAGAACTGGTAATAGCTAACCTTAACTGAATACTAGCTATATGGCTTTGTTCCTAAGTGCCTAAACCTGATTACTTTATTTATCCTTGTAACTACACCACTGTTAGATAGGAAATTTTATTCCCATATTTAGATGAAGTAACTGAGACTTAGAGAAGTAGAGTCATTAAGGTCACACAGCGAGTGGTACAGCTAAAATCTGAATCCAGGAAGTCTGAAATCTCTTAACCATTCTAGTAGCTATTTTTGTTAATAAGACAGAGATAGTAGGAGGAGTTGAAGTTGTATCATACATAGAAGTAAAACCAGGCTTTAACCCGAGAATATCTAGGTCAATGTAAAAAAAAAAAAAAAATGTCAGAAGTTAGGATGAGGGCTGGTTTCTCATAAGTTGAGTTTTGGAGCTGTTAAAAAAATACAGAATATAATTTTAAAATTCGAGAGTATTTTTTTTAATTCTTATATTTCAAAAGACTTTAAAAATATTCTTAAATGAGATTTTATTGCTTGTATGGACTTGTGTGAAGACAGACTTACTGGGTTTTGATCCTGGATCCTCTATCTACTAGTTTTGCGATCTTTTCCAAGTTAAATTTTCTGTGCCAGTTCTTCCTTATCTGTAAAATGAAAATAATAGGTCCTTTCTCATAAGTTGTTGCTTGAGAATTAAATTATTTAATATATGAAAAGCCCTTAGAATAGTACTAAATGGCATATAAGTTTACCTGATGGTATTATTATTATTATTAATATTAATCATATTTCTCCAAAGCATCTGGTTATCTACCCTTATTAATGAACATTTTTCTTTGATAAAAAATTCTACTTCTTGGACCTAATTTCTGGTACCTGTCTGCCCCTAATCTTCTTTTTCCTTTATTTCCATTTTCCTAACTACTTACTGTCGACCTCAGAGTCGAGGACCTGGGGCAGCGAAGGAACTGAGAAAAAGAGATGACAGTATAGCGAGGCACAGGGGACCCCGAGCTAACAGCCTGAGGCACCGAGCTTTATTTTCCATACTCTTTTATACCTTCTACAGCAATATAGATCTGTAATGATTTACAGCAGGGGCGTAGTAAGGCACATTCCTCCATGTATACAGGATTAGTCAAGCACATAAGAATCTTTAAAACAGAATAAAGGAACAAAGAGGGGAGTGCACAGTGTGCTGTTTCCAGGACAAGGGAACGAAGAGGGGAGTGCCCAGTGTGCTGTTTACAGCTGGCTTCCTATCTACAAGACATCTTCTGCTGTGTACTTTAGAACTGACCACACACGTTCCAAGGGCATTTCACTCTGATCCTTTCGGGTTATTTTTAACCCTGCAATCTCGAGTTTTCTCAGAGATCTCGGAGTCTGAGCGAATATGCACCAGTGGTCGTTGTGGTGTTCTGCTTCCTACAACTTACAGTTTATATCTTCTTTTATGCTTTCTGTAACTTATGAACCAATTTCAACTTTTGGAGGGATAAGTTAGGGAATATACACACACACACACACACACACACACACACACGCACATCTTTATTTCCGGAACTTAACGTTATTAGTGCATGGGCTTTTTCTTGTCCACAGATATATCCCTAGTTCCTAGAACAGTAATTTCTAGTCTTTCATAAATAAAATATTTATTGAATGAATGAATAATGCTTGTATGACTTCAAATTTATCACGTATTTTGTATATGGCTATTATTTTCTTCCTAAATTTTCTATTCTTTAGACCAGAAAAATATCTAGTTTTTCAATGTTCTTCTTTAAGAATGGTACTTATAACAATATAATTAATACATCATATGTGATTTGATCAATAGAGAATAAGAATATCATTATATCTTTTATTCTATGTATTTGTCTATCATTGTACTTAAAGTAGCATTTGGGAGGGACAGTAATACTTTTTAAATTTATATTTAAATTTATTGAAGTAGAATTGACATACAGTGTTATATTAATTGCAGGTGTTCAACATAGTGATTCGACAGTTCTGTGCATTACTCAGTGCTCACCACACATGTTGTCGCCATCTGTTGTAACCATGCAACATTATGATAATATTATTGGCTATTGACTATTGTACTATTCATTTCCATGACTTATTTATTTTATAACTAGAAGTTTGTACCTCTCAATCCCCTTTATGTATTTTGCCCATCTCCCTGCCCACCTCTTCTCTGGCAACTAAAGACAGATGTGAAATACTCAAACAAAACAAAACAAAAAAACAAATGAACAAACAAAACCAAACTCTTAGATACAGAGGACAGTAATACTTTTGACTCACTTGACAATGCCATAAGTCAAATACATTGCTATTAAATCATCTTTGTATATCAATTCACATTTTTTAAAGTAAAGTATTATAAGATACTAGCTATATTTCTCTTAAACATTTTTTAACATTGATTCTATCATTTCAACTTTTACTATAAGTTTGCTAGTATCGGTTTCATATTTTTATCTTCTGTACATGGAGATTAGGCCCTTTGTTTCTTTTCTGTTACATCTCATTTGTCAGTCTAGTAATATCACAAAAGAAAATGAACTTCATGTCTTAAAATTTATCCTTAGCGAATTCTGCATTTTCTAATGATTATAAGTTTTTGGAGCCAAATTCTTTTTTATAATAATTTGTCCTGAATCCTACCAGTAGTCCCGTGCACCATTTTGCTCTATTTGATTTGAAATTACTTTTTCCATTTTTAAAAAACTAGACTTTGCTAGTTTTCATTCTTACAGCACCCTTAATCTGTAGCTTTCAAATTTTTCTCAAAGGTAGTTTTAGACTAGAAGACTTGAAATTTTTTAGAGTAGCTATGCTGTCCTGCTATTTGAATTATTTTATTATTTTTATTTTGTTATAAATAATCTCTCATGTTATCATTAGTTATTGTTTCTTTTTGTTTATTTTCAGCTGGTTGGCGGAGAATTTGACTTGGAGATGAACTTTATTATCCAGGATGCTGAGAGTATAACATGCATGACAGAGCTTTTGGAGCACTGTGATGTAACATGTCAAGCAGAAATATGGAGCATGTTTACAGCCATTTTACGAAAAAGTGTTCGGAATTTACAGACTAGCACAGAAGTTGGGCTAATTGAACAAGTATTGCTGAAAATGAGTGCTGTAGATGACATGATAGCAGGTATGAGGTTATCTGACAGGATAATATATGTTAAATGTTTATAAAGATATATGTACTTTTCTTTATATTCTATTGGTAATATAAATTTGTTGGAGCTAACTTGATTTAAAATAGCCTGGTGATGGGTATTAAAGAGGGCACGTACTGCATGGAGCACTGGCTGTTATACGCAAACAATGGATCATGGAACACTACATCAAAAACTTAATGATGTAATGTATGGTGATTAACATAACATACTAAAAAAATAAATAAATAAACATAAAAATAAAATAGATAGTAGAAATGTATGGAAAATTTGCCCTGTATATTAAGGGAAAACTTGAAGAATGGAAGACACCTTCTTCTTTATTAGACAAACATAATTACTGATTTTGCTTTTCCAGGTTTTAGAAAATCTCAATTACGTGGAATAAATAACCACAAAATCTATCAGAAAAATAAACATACCTTTTTACATAGTACTTAGTTAGACTTTACATAATTAAAATTTTACAATATGTATTACAAGTCTGTGTAATTAGCACTTTACCAACTTCTTCGAGCTCCATGATTTTCAGTTTGGCATATATGGAACTATGAGAGGAGGAACTAATATCCTTAGGATAAGCATGTTGAATTTTTAGGAAGTGTTCATTTTACTTTGATATTTTTTAGAGAAACTTTTGTATTAAAATATACAGATCTAGAATAGAACATAAAGTTTGCATGGAATTTCAAGATAAAAATACTAACTTTTGTGCTTGTTATATGTTACTTCAAATAACTTTGAAATCTGTGATTATTCATTGCCAATCCTTTATCTCCCCGCAAGTTCGTTCTCCTTTGTTGTTAGATGCACTTCAGTAGAATGTTTTGAAAGATGGTCCCAGAGCAACATTATTCCCAGAAAATAAGTTTAGAGTTTAAAATGTTGATTCTTTTAAGCCATGAATCTTCAGCATATGTCACTTCTGATATAAAAGGGTTTTCATAATTTAAAAAAAAGTGCTAATATGACTCCTCACAGTATCATACTTGATCCTTACAAGTAGTCTGGACACCAGAGAATCCTCTATCATATTTTGATTTATGCATAATTAATTTTAATATTAGTAGAACAAAACATTAAGAAATAATGGAGTGAAGAATAAGTTAAAGATGAATGTCTTTTAAACAATATTTAAACATTTTTTTCTAACAGAGTATATTAAAATCATTTCTAATTGCTTTCAAGGTGGCATCTATCTCTAGATTGATTTAGCATTCTCTATATTGGTTACTAATGATTAACTTGATGAAAAATGAAATTCATATTTAAAACATCCTTTTAATGATGATATGTACCATCTGTAAACCATTTTGTAAATTCTAGCATTGTTTAACAGGAATTTATTTGCATAAGCTTATATGTTTGGTGCTTACATGTTGTATAGAACATCATGTGATCTTTGAGTCCTCATATCTGGGTTTAGTCCCTGAAGTTTTTTTGTTTGCTTGTTTGTTTTTTGAAATAAAGTGGCTACCACTTTATAAAGTGCACTTTAGAAAATGAGCCACAGTCACGTACATAGTAGTTTACTGGTACATAATTCATGAGCTTTGAGATATAAGATGATAGTAAGCTTGATTAGTACTGCAAAAGTTCTTATGTTCATGTTTTCTATTATATAAAGCTCCTTAATTCTCTTATCTTTGCTTCTCAATAGTAATAATACTGGTAACATAAAACTTTCCCTTTTTGTTATTTTATCATTGAATAAACATCAGAAAAATACCTCTACCTTACTTTTCAGTAGAGAAAGTAAAATTTAGATGACATACTAATGAAGCACCAAAAAACACCACTAAGTTTTCACTCTGAATATTTATAGCATGTTAAGTTCAAAGAGGTACTTTTCATTTACTAATGTGTAGGTATTACTAGAAGGTAGTTAAACGTCTATACTAAATTGTTAAGAGAATTTCATAGTCTGAGTATTCTTTCTTCTTTAAAAATTTTGTCCAGGAAAAAACACCTGTTAAAATAAAATCAAACTGAGCTACTTGGTTATGTTATATGTATAATAAATATGAAATTTTAATAACTAATTAAATACAAATTTAATAGATTACTTTTTATGACACACATATAAGATGAGATAAAGGTTTGGAAAAAGAAGTTTAATTTTTTAGATAAGTATTTGTAGGTAAATGTTTAAGAAATCTATGAATTTGCCATTGCAGCTAATTGCTTGAAACTGCTTCCTATTAATTTAGGGTTTTAAGGTGCTTGATTTCTATCTAGAATTCTTTCTTAAAAACAGATCTTCTCACTTATTTGTAGTAACTATACGCTTTTTTACTGAATGATGAAACATTTTATTTCATTAAAAGATCTCAAAAATGGCACATCAATAGTCACAATTTAATGATAGGGATTGCTTACTTATTGGGGCGTTAAGTAAGATTATTTAATTATTTATTGATGAAAATAACCATATTAAATTTCTGTTTTGAAATAGATACATAATAAATATTTTAAAGTCTCAAATTCCAGTTATTAATTTGTGATATTAGATAATATATATTATACATCAGTAACTAATTATTTGAACTTATCCTCTCATTTTTAAATTGATGATAAATTATTTAGAGTATATATGTGTATTGATTGTAATAATTTGCATAGTATCTTTAATCCTTAGGAAGTGCTTTAGAAATCGAGAAAATTAAGTATAAATATTTAGATGTGTAATTTCTTACAAAGAACGATTGATAGAAGTACTACTCATAACATCTAGATGAGAAAGAAATCAAGGGCAAGAGATTAAATGTATAATTTTCCTATTATCTGGTGAGCTGGTGTGTCTCATATGCACATAAACACATGAACAGAATGGATATCACTGGTAATATGTTTAAGTCAGACTTTGATTTAGAGACTAGTAGGTAACAGAGAGGGCTCTGGAGCCATACTGCCTAGGTTTTAATCCTGACCCTGCCACTTAGTAGAGTGTGTTCTTGGGCAAGGTGATTAGGTTATTTCTGTCTCACTTTCCTCATTTTAGGAAGTGGCTAATAATAGTACTTCATAGGCTTGTTATGAGGATTTGTGTACTTAATAACTGTAAACCACTTGGAATAATGGAGGAGTAAGTGCTCATAATTATTGTTAATGGGGCAAGGAATATTTCAAGAATATCTTTTATTAAGAATAGATAATTCTAAAATAAAATATGGTCAAGTCTCACTTTTTTATTTGAAAATAACCACTTTACAACATTAAATCATTGTACCTTTGCATATTTTTGCTTTCCTTTCCCTGAATATAATAGGTATATGTGTGTGTGTGTGTGTGTGTGTGTGTGTGTGTATTCTGGGAATCTATTTTATATATTTGCTAAGGAAACTTAATTGTAATGGTAAATCTGATGGGGAAAAATCCTAAAATTCGAATAAAATGTTTTTGGCTATCTGAGGACCTAAAAATTGTTCATTAGAATGACTTCATGAGGACATTTAGATAAATATGTATGTAGAAATGAGAATTGATAACTTTTGCTCTTTCAAAAGTGTATTACCTTGACAGATGGCAGCTCATGACTAGAGTTCAGAATAACTTTATTTTCCTTTGAAGATCTTCTAGTTGATATGTTGGGGGTTCTTGCCAGCTACAGCATCACTGTCAAGGAGTTGAAGCTTTTGTTCAGCATGCTTCGAGGAGAAAGTGGAATCTGGGTAAGCTGTGGTAGAGGGAAAAGTATTCAGTATTAGTGCATTAATACTTAATGTTCAGCAGTTTGTCTCTAGAGAGCTATAAACTTGAATTTGTAATGGAAATTGTTCTCCTTAAAGAGTTTAGTAAATGATGTAAAATTAATTTCTCTCTGGTTAGAAAACAGTCCAGTGTCTAACATGATAGATTAGGTATTTTTGCTAAATTTGTACAGTAACATTTCTTTTTCTTGTTTCCTTAGCCAAGACATGCAGTAAAATTATTATCAGTTCTTAATCAGATGCCACAAAGACATGGTCCTGATACTTTTTTCAATTTCCCTGGTTGTAGTGCTGCGGTAAGTTTTAAATACATGTGTTTATTTTTATTTATTTATTTTTAATTCAGCTCTGTTAAGGTATAATTCACATAAAATTCACCCATTTAAAAGTACAATTTGATGAGTTTTAAGTTCATAATTACCACCACAGTCATGATTTTGAACAATTCCATCACTTCCTAAAGTTCCCTTTTGTCTCTGAAACGAGTCCCCTCTCCCCAACCCCTGTCCCTTACAACCTCCGATTTATTTTGTGTTTTTATGATTTTGCCTTTTCTAGAATTTCATATAAATAAAATCATACAGTATGTAATCTTTTCTGTCAGCCTTCTTTCACTTACCTTAATGCTGGCTTTTTTTTTTTTTTGGATTTTTATTTATTTAAGTCTTTTATTTTTTATTAACATATAATGTAGTATTTGTTTCAGGGGTACAGGTCTGTGATTCATCAGTCTTACACAATTCACAGTACTCAACTATAGCACATACCCTCCCCAGTGTCCATCACCCAGCCACCCCATCCCTTTGACCCCCCTCCCCTCCAGCAACCCTCAGTTTGTTTCCTGAGATTAAGAGTCTCTTATGGTTTGTCTCCCTCTCTGGTTTCATCTTTTTGTTTACGGTAATGCTTTTGAGGTTGCCCATGTTGTAGCTTACCAGTAGTTTATTCTGTTCCTTTTTATTCTGAGTTGTGTTACATTTTATGGAAATGCCACAGTTTATCCATTTACTAGTTTATCCAACTCACTATTTGAGTTTTCAGTTTTTGGCTATTGTAAATAAAACTGTTGTGATCATTTGAACACAGATCTTCTGTGGGCATGTTTTCTCATCTCGTAAGTAAAAACATGAGTGTAATTGCTGGGTTTTATGCTAAGTGTGTACTTCATTTCATGAGAAACAGGCAGATTGCTTTCCATAGTGGAAAATTTTGCATTCTCCTTAACAGTGTATGAGAATCCCAGTTGATCTGCATTCTGGACAATGTCCATCTTTTTAATTTGAGGCATTTAAGTGGTTATATAATGGTACCTCATTGTAGTTATAATTTTGTATTGCCCTAATGACTGATGCTATTGAGCAGTTTTTCATGTGTTTATTGGTTGTTTTTACATCTTTTGTGATATTTGTGTTTAAATCTTTATTCAGTTAAAAAAGTTAGTTTTATTATCTTAAGAGTTCATTATGTATTTGGAGTATAAGTTAATTTGTCAGATGGATAATTATCAATTTTTTTTTGCAATCTGGCTTTTACTTTCTTAACCATATTTCTTAAAGCAAACAGATTTTAATTTCAATAAAGTTCATTTAAACTTTTTTTATGGCATATGCTGTTGTAATCTAAGAAATCAATATAAACCAAGGTCACAACATTTTTTTCTTATGCTTTCTACTAAGAGTTCTTTTGTTTTAGCTCTTATATTTAGGTCTATGATTCTCTTTATGTGAATTTTTAAAATATGGTATGAGGGAAGGTTGGAGGTTAAAGTTTTGTTTGTTTTGCATATGAATATTGAATTGTTTCATAACCATTTGTTAAAGAGACAGTCCTTTAACATTTTGGATTACCTTGGCACCTTTCTTGAAAACTCTCTGGCTGTGTTTGTGTGGATTTGTTTCTGAACTTTGTGTTTGGTTCCTTTGTCCTCTGTTTCTGCTCATATTTATGCCAATGTCAGATTGTCTTTATTTTTGTAGCTGTATAGTAAGTAGTTCTTGAAATCAGATTGTATAAGTACTCCAACTTTGTTCTTCATTTTAAAATAATTTTGGTTATTCTAGGTAACATTTCAATACGTGAATAAACTTGTCAAATTTTATAAAATGCTTACTGTGATTTAGATTGTATTGTGTTAAATATATAGAACAATTTGGAGAGAATATTATTGAGTCTTCCAGTTCATGAACGAAGTATATATCTTCCTTTATTTAGTTTTCTATGATTTTTCAGTGTTTTGCAGTTTTTAGCATAAAGCCTTAAATATCTTTTGTTTCTGTTCCTATGTACTAGGAGGTTTTTTAATCATCAACATGTTGATATTACTGTTGAATTCTGTCGAATGCTTTTTCTGATTTTATTGAAGTGAAAATACGGTTTTTCTTCTTAATTTTTATTAATGTAGTAAATTACAATGATTGATATTTCAGTGTTAAACCAACCTTTGTGTTCCTGGGATAAAAACTAGTTGGTCGCTATGTTTTAACTTTTTCATCCAACACTGGATTTGATTTGCTAACGTAATGCTAAGAAATTTTGTAATTATTTTTATGAATGTTTGGAGGTGTAGTTTTCTTTTTCTTTAATATCTTTTTCTGGTTTTGGTGACAGAGTAATCCTCATACGATGAGTTTGGAACTATTTAATTCTTTATATTAAAGAGTTTATGTAGAATTGATATTACTTATTCTTAAATGTATGTTAGAATTCACCTTTGTAGCTATTTGGGCCTGATGTTTTCTTTGTGGGAAGGTTTTAAACTATGAACTTAATTTCTTTAATGGATATAAGGAGGTTTCTATTTCCTTTTGAGTGAGCTTTGGTAGTTTGTGTCTTCCACGCAATTTGTCCAGTTAATCCAAGTTGTTGAATATGTTTGTATAATCCAGTATGTTGAATATATCATCATATCCCCTTCTTAGCCTTTTAATGTCTGTATGATATTTAGTGATACCTCTTTCATTCTTGATACTGGATTTTTTTCCTGATTAATCTAGCTAGAAGTTTATCCATTTTGTTGTTCTTTTCAAAGAACTAACTTTCTCAGTCTGCTTGATTTCATTATTTTTATCTAACATTGTGGCATTGTAGAGAGTATGTATAACTTTTGACTATAAGAACTGGTTTTGATTTCTGAATCCTCTACTTCCTTACTGTGGAGAACTAGTCCCTTAATGTTTCTTGGCTTACTTTCATGTAAAATATTAGTACTTTCTCATGGAAGAGGGTTACTGTGAGCCTGTAATGAAATAATATACTATTTAATATTTAAGTACTATATAACTTATAAAACATCATGTAATATTTCTTGCTCTTAGGTTATTATTAGTGCATAAGCATCCTTGTAGTCTCTCATTTCGTCAACCATTCCCCTAATTTTATTTTTTCCCTAATATTTTGTTACTAACCTTTTTTTTAAAGTTATAATTTTCCGTTGTAACAAAATTGTGAAATAAAAATAGGAAAGTTAAAAAAATCTCTTTCCAGATGAAAGTTAATAATTTTACATATCAGATTGTTAGGGTGGAACATATATCAAATGTACATGGTGGTACTTAGCAGAGAAAACACTGTCACTGTCCCTAAGAAGATACTGGTTTTCTCAGATTTATGTAATAGTTCTATTTGCATACATACATATATTTTAATATATTTTATAAAACTGTTATTGATCTGACATCTAGTAGATATCACTTAAGGGGTGAGAAGGAACAGCCAAGTGTTTTGACAGAAATATAAACAAGTTACTGTCTTATTGGTGGAATTAACAAAATTAGCTAAAATAGTGTTAAAACTGTTTTAATAAATGGTTTAAATTGCCTCAGTAGGGTTACAAGTCATCCTGTTTTTAGACATTTGATCCATTTACCAGAAATCTGTGAATATTTTTTATCAGTATGTAATGCATTTTACACACACGTGCATGCACACACACAGAGAATTTTACTTAGATGGTGTTAATGGTATATGTATGAATTGTTTTCGTTCAGGGGATTTTGATGGACTTACACTATCTATTCCTCCTTTCTTGGTTTTCCCCTATCACTCATTTTCATGAAGGGTAGTATTAATTAGCAGTATAGTCTATATAGGAGAGGAAGCAAAGAAGGAAGTAGAACTTTTACAATTGTTATTTCATTTGAGTCATAGAAGTTATATGTAAGATAAATGATATTATTGCTGTTAAATTAGTTGTGGAAAGAGCCTCAACAGTGTAACATTGTTCAGGGTCATAAAGCAGAGTCACAGCCTGAACTAAAATTTGCCTCACCTTAAGTCCTGTGTTTTGTTTTGTTTTGTTTTAGTAACGCATTGGCTTATTTCCAGGTGTGTTATCTCTGCTGTTGAACTACTGAAAAATTCATATAGGAGCTGATTTTAAAATCCTTACCATTACAGTGTTTTTGATAATTTACCTCTAGATGAGCATGATAGTAACAAGAGGGTACATACTGTCTGGACCACTGTTGGTAGCAGTACCTTTGGATCACTAAAAATATGACACTGCTTACTTTCCCTCTGAAATAACCATATATAGTAGGCCTTCTGAATTATATTTTATACTGTGGAGATGCCTTTCTATGAGCTATGCTGCCTCATATGAGAAATTTGCAATAGAATTCTATAGAGTGGGTTATATAAAGGTAAATGGCAAATGTATAACATTTTATGTGATCTGTGACCTTTATGGATATACTATTTAGATTTGCCTTTCACGATAATCATATGTTTCATGAATCCGCTTAATTTAGGAAATAGTGAATTCTTCTAATTTACTGAAATAGTTTACTGAAAGTATTCCATCTAAACATCAGAATTCTTTCTTTTGCACATTAAATAGAAGCATAGATTTTGGAGTCCGTTGGATTAGGGGACAGTGAAGGATATAGATTTTGGAGTCCTGTGGACTCATTGGATACAGTGAGGAACATCCAGTTGTGGGTACCAGAATATTTTAGAAGGAGATAGGGAAGAAGAGTAAGAACAGCTTAAATTCAAAATCACAAAGATATCCCAAAGGATATGCCATTAACACCATGGGATCAGATGGATATGTAAGGAATCTAGGAAATGAGTGTTGAGATCAGGCACAAATGGTTTGGATGTAAATGTGCTTGGGTTTCACATACGTGGCAGTACTATCCAAAGTTAGCTTTTGTGCATGGACTAAGGGAGGATGTATGCATTAGCTGAAAAGAGTAGAGAAAGCCTGGAGATACAGTGTATACTGTATAGAGGGCTTTGGTTGGTATAGAAGTAGGAGCCAAAGATTGAGGAGTACCATCTAGAAATGGGCAGTTTTAGGTCCCTAAAACATTTAGTCTAGCCGTTGTATACTAAATTTAAGAGAATATCTTTCAGTAAAGGTAACTATCTTGTTGAAGAGATTGGCCATAATATAAAGATCCTTATTTATCCATGGAGTTATTGGAAGTCCACAATGAAACCGAGGAAAATGCTATTCTAGAGCCTCTCAGGTTTGTATTTGGTACCAGTTGTAGGAAGACCAAAGACTAATATTATTTCATTATCACTCAAGGTTAGATTTTTCTTTTATAAGACTTTTTTTCCATTGTAATTTTGTTCACTAGTGTTTGCAACTGTATGTGATTTAGGGCTCTTTCAGACCTACGGTGGAGATAACACTGTCTCTTCTTGGTGGAAGAGTAGGTCTAGAAAACTTGAAGGGCAGCTTGGCTCAAATTCATTCCTCTGTTAGTTTAATGCAGTCTTTAAGTTCTAATTTAGGGTCTAGTGGACTGGATGTTGAAACTGGTGATACAGAAAGTGCTAAGGCCATTGGCTGGGGATAAGTCTATGATTTTCTGATATTTATACCTTCATTGTTTTTTGATCTGTAAGGCTATATTTGACCTTGGTTACTATCACATTTTCTTTAGCTGATACTTTTCTTTTTTCATTGCCTTGTAGGCAATTGCATTGCCTCCTATTGCAAAGTGGCCTTATCAGAATGGCTTTACTCTAAATACTTGGTTTCGTATGGATCCATTAAATAACATTAATGTGGATAAGGATAAACCTTATCTTTATTGGTAAGTAATATATTTAATTTTAGTACTTTTGTCTTAAGTATTTCAGTTTTATAAATATGTAACACAGTGTCAAGGCAACATATTGAATAGAATGTGTATGTGTTTGTGTATATATATATATATTTATATTTATATATGTTAAAACTATAAAGACACATGTCAGTTTATTTTATTTATTCATTTTTTGTTATTGGTTTTAGGCAACCAGCCTCACTATATTTTTTTCCAATTACAGTTTGAAAGTCAAGATTTACAAACCTTCTCTGTCCAGTCCACATCAACATAGACTAGTTAGGGGATTGTTAGTGGACATGCAAGTCCCTAGTCCAGGGGAGAAAAAAAACAAATTCCTTCCAGATTTCGTCACTTTGCATTTTTACTTCCTTTGTTCTATGAGCATAAAGATATGCTTTAAAAATATTAGTGATAACTACTATGTAAGAAAATACAATCAAATAATAAACGTAATTATTTCATAGATAACTAACAGAATGGGTTGATATTCCCAGATAGGTTGACCTGTAAGGACCGAGAGCTTGGTAATTTTAGTTTACCAAGAATGCACAGTAATGAGAACATGAAACTTGCATTGATTGCCTTACTATATACTAGGCATTGTAAGTGTTTACATGTATTACCTCATTTAATACTTGCGATGCTTTGAAATAAGACTGCCTGGGGTTAAGTCTTATGTTCACTACTTACTGATCCTGTGTTTTAGTGTCTTCAGCTGTAAAGCGAAGATAACAGTAGTACCTATCATATCAGATTGAATGAGAGAATAATTAAGCGTTTTTGTACATTGACTGGCTCAATATGAGTGCAGAAAAATGTGAGATATTAATAGCTTGTAAGCTCTATTAGAAAAGATTATAGAAGTGTAGTAATGAGAGGGAGTTCTAAACAAACATCTGAACTTCCAAACATAAATGGGTTGAATTTCAGAATGGTCGTTTTGGCAGATCATACATTTATTTTAGTAATACCATTATTTTGCCGAGCATTTACAATTTTTACAATACTGTGCTTAAATTCACAACTAGGAGGAGTCCTTCCTTAAAAGAAAATAACTATTTCAGAGACACATCTTTTTTCTTCTTTTGACTAAAAATATACTCCGTTTGATTACATATATCATTTATCAAACTTGGCTCTGACTTTGTTTTGTAATTTTTAAGCTATTTTTTAAAGATATAAATAGAATTGGGAGTAAGTTGTTTTTGAAAACAGTGGCTTTGTAAATGGTTTCTGTATTTGCTAATTTCAGGGGTCCTTGAAGGTAAATGAAATCTACTTAGGCTTTCATTGGCCATTATTTTGTTTTTATGTATTTGTGATATTTCACATTGAAATTTCAGAAGGTTCTGTAGTCTTCTGTTTTCTCAATTTAAAGTTCTTTCTTTAGTTGTTCTAAACCTTTTATGGTTTAGTCTTTATTTGGTACATGTAATACCCCTTCTACTCTATGGAAAAATGAGTTTTATTTTTATAATAGTGTTTTATATTATTTATTTAATAATTTTTAGATATATAGTTCTTTGTATCAGAGGATATTATACGATTCTCAGTTTTCTTTACAGTTTTCGTACTAGCAAAGGAGTTGGTTACTCTGCTCACTTCGTTGGCAATTGTCTAATAGTCACATCACTGAAGTCTAAAGGAAAAGGTTTTCAGCACTGTGTGAAATACGATTTTCAACCCCGTAAGGTAGGTATAAGTAAATATTTCTATTGAGAATGACACAATTCACCATTCCCCCTATCCTAAAATTCACCTATTATGACTTCTGTAATACTCTTTTATTGATTTTTCTTATGACACATAATGCTTTTCTCTTCTCCTTTTTATTTTTATGCCTATTCCCATAAAAAGATCAGGCTCTTGACCTCTTGCCGTGTCTGTCTGACTTGTTTGCTTGCTCTCTGGGATCTATTCTGTGGCATTCTTAGTTCCAGACACTATTGTAGGCACTAGAAATATGACAGTGAACAAAACAGATAACATTCCTGCTTTTGTGGAGCTTATTTTTTGAGGAATTTTTATTCAGTTTCATGATAGCTTTCCACTCTTATTCTTATCTCCAAGTTCTATTCTTATATCCTCATCTACCAAAGATACTGCCATGTAAATGTCTTTCTGGCCCCTCATCTTTACAGAATATGTAACACTGAATTCACGTCTCTAGTCCCATATTCAGTATGTTCTTAAGTCCCCTGTTTTGATTAAGCAGCCTACCGTCTTCATGATAGTGGGGACTTGAGTCAGCTTTGTTCTTCATCCTCTTTTTGATCATGATATCAGTGCAATTTTCTACTCCAGCACTTTGTATCTCTGTAATATATCTCTTTAAAAAAAATTCCTTACTTACTGCTTAAATTTTTCATATTGTTCTCTCTTTATCTTGGATCCTTTGTCTCTTCCTCCCCAAACTATGTTATATACTAATATCTGATTTATATTCTTGATCATATTATTCCACTGCTCAAACCAGTCATTTGCTTCTCACTAACTATAGAATAAATTAGCACTTTTAGCCTAGTCCTTCGTGATTTGGATTTCATTTTCAGGTTTTTGCTTATACCCTTTATTCTTTCAAAACTGAACTACTGTACATGTTTCACTTTTTATCTTTTCCTTTTCAAATGTTCAATCTCTGGTGTGAAAACATTTATATGTCTTCTCACTTATGGCTGTAGGTCTTCAAATTCTACCTTTTTGTTAGATTCCATTCCATATAACACCATTTCCCTGGAATCTTTCCTTGATTTTCCTTGCTGTCCGATATACTCTCTCTCATAGCATATTATTTCAGTATTTCTTATAGCAATTGTTTCTTTTAAATCTTTATTACTCATTTATATGTGCATTATTTAGTAACTATTTAAACTAAGCTGTGTGTTGGATTCAGTTTTGTATTCCCTCATAAACCTGCCACAGAGTTTTGAACTTGGTGGACTGCTAATTAGTATATGTTGGATAAATGAATAAAATATGCTTTAACAACCAAAAAGAACCCTTTTGTTTCCTGAAGGAGTAGGTTGTATTTATCTGGACAGCTAATTTTTATTGAGCAATTTATTTTCTAGTGGTGTAAAATAAATGAGGTGTTAACTGTTGATAAAGTGAAAAAGAAGGCCTGGGCCTTGTTGTGGTCAGTGCTCCTTGTAGGGGCAGTAAGCCAAGGACCTTTACCATGGGACAGGAAGAAGGACAATAAAGACCAAGTAATGTAGGTTGTTACTATGTGATATGCTTTTGAAATTAAAAGCTTACCAGCCTTGTTGTTCTAGCATGGTAATGTACACTGCAAAACTAAGTTAATTTTTGCATTTGTAGAGAATTAGAGCATTATCCATGAGCATTAAGAGAGATTTTATGCTTTTTGAGAAAGTGTTTTACACAGGTTTAATGGAAAATACAGTTACTTAGAATCCTAACTACTGACACATCCTTATATCTTTATTCTGATCCTAAAATCTTGGTATGTATGATACATAATTGATATGTCATTATATATAATAATTTATGTAATATATAAATTTGCTATATATTACATAGAAATAATGCAGTGTCTTTTCAATTTTCAGCATGTTCATGAAAACAGTATTAAAGAATTTGAACAATTACATTATTCAGAGTTTATTCAAAGGCAAACTTGTATATGAACTTTATGTTACTTTAATTATAGTTCTGAGGAATTATGTTTGAAGAACATTTGCAGGAATTTTGTTTTAATTACAGTTCTATCTTGTTCTTCCTCTTCCTTTCATTTTCTCCTCCTCAATATTCTCCTGTCTCTCCTTTACCTCTAACTCCTCTTTTGTTCATCCTTTTTACCCTCCTCTAATTTTCCCCTTCTTCCCTTTTCCCTCCTCCTCCTTTCCTTGTTCTCCTTCCCTCTTCTTCCTTTAACCTCATTTGGCTTAGATAATAGAACCAGATTTTAGACTGGAGATTCAGAGTTCACAGTGGTTTGTACAGTGTGCATCTTATACACTATGGATTTATAGATAATTAGCTCTTTCAGAAGGTCAGGTGTTAAACCTCCAGATTTGGTAATACACAGAGACTTCTCTTGAGGGAGTTTTAGCTAATCCTAGTAGTCCTGAATCTTGTTTCCTGAGATTGAAGGTTACACAGGTCTCTGCTTCTTCAATAATGCTGGCTTCGAGGAGAGGATGTTGCTCTACAGTTAATGTTTTGGCCCATTAAATATACCTTTGCTTAATATCCAGTAGAATATGGATATTCAAGAGACCAGGTTGAAATGTGTTTTTAAAAGTCTGCTCTAAACATAAAAAATAACAAGAGAAAATGCAGAGAAATGTGCAACTATATAATTAGATTTATAATTCACTCACTATCACCTGGGGTTTTCTAGAGAGATATTCCATTATATATTATATATATATTATATTGGACTCCATCTTTGTGTTAGAGTAACTAACCATTTGAAAGTCCAGAATTGAAAAAAACAAAGGACAGAAATATAAGAGTTCCTATTTCCACATGTTTAAGGCCAGTTACCCCTTCCAGGTTCAAAGGTCTTTTTTGGATATATGACTGTGAGATTGTCCACCTTCTTTAGGGCACACTCTGCCTTTTATCCACAGGAATATTTATCCACAGGAACAACCATAATAGAGATGATGCACCCACATATGGCAGAGGGAATGTCATTTCTTTTTCTTTCCTTTTTGCTTGTTTTCTTGTCTGCTTATGATCCCATGTATGTTTTGCCACATATTGAAGAAAATATGAGTTAGGATGGGGTTTTCAAATATACGTTCAAAAATTTTACCTGAGTCTAATAAAATTGTTTGCTTTATGTTTAAGCAATAGTAATAACTATTTTTATTAAAGAATATCAGTGTAACAATCATTCATTAATATAAACTTGGAAAATAGCTTAAAAAGCAATGATTCTAGGTAAATTTATAAATTAGATTGGAGATTCTTTTTTCTTTGATACAAATCCCAGTTATGTTCATACAACTTCAGTTGTCTCTCCTCCAGAAATTCTGATTTATTGGATTTGAGAGGATACCCAGGAGAGTTTGCCAAATGTGCCAAATTTTTTGAATTTCAGAGAGAGCTTGTTATAAATACAGATTCTTAGAATTATAGTTTTCATGTTAGGAATAGGTTTTTAACAAATTATTTAGATGATTTTTTTTTTTCATCAGATAAGTTTAGATAACAGTGGTTTGAAGAGTATAAGGAAGGAAAGTTAGGGTGAAGTTAAGTACCAAATAAAATTGTCATTAACCAGTAGAAAGCAATTTAATCCATTTGTTCTCTCTCTCTCTTTGTCTTTATGCTATTTCCTTATGAGACATACATTCCCATTTGTAATAGCTCTTTATACATTGATGCTAAGGAGTCTTGGTAGGAGCAAGGTCATAGAGTGATAGAGGTTTTGAAAAACCTGTAAATATTCTCATAAACCTTGAAAACCATAAGTATTTTATTTTACTGTTTCATTATTCAAGATAAATACATTTTTTTCTTTCATATTTTTCCAGAAAATGCCCTAGCTAAATTGTTATCCTTTACTAAGGTATTTAACTGGCATTTCATAAAGAAATGTTTATATTAAAACTTAGCTTTCTTACCTGTAGCACTTACCAGATGTTTGACCTTGTCATAATGTATGTAACCTGTGAGCACATTACCTAATATGTAGTAAGGGCTCGAATATGTGTTAGCTACTGTTGATATTTGTATAAATATCATGTTATATATTCCTATGAATTCTTTATTTTATTATGTTAATCACCATACATCATTAGTTTTTTTATGTTCTGTTAATCACCCATATATTACATCATTAGTTTTTGATGTAGTGTTGCATGATTCATTGTTTGCGTATAACACCCAGTGCTCCATGCAGTACGTGCCCTCTTTAATACCCATCACCAGGCTAACCCATCCTCCCACACCCCCTCCCCTCTAGAACCCTCAGTTTGTTTCTCAGAGTCCATAGTCTCTCATGGTTCATCTCCCCCTCCGATTTCCCCCCACTTCATTTTTCCCTTCCTACTATCTTCTTCCTTTTTTTAACATATAATGTATTATTTGTTTCAAAGGTACAGGTCTGTGATTCAACAGTCTTACACAATTCACAGCGCTCACCATAGCACATACCCTCCCCAATGTCTACCACCCAGCCACCCCATCCCTCCCACCCCCACCACTCCAGCAACCCTCAGTTTGTTTCCTGAGATTAAGAATTCCTCATATCAGTGAGGTCACATGATACATCTCTTTGTCTGATTGACTTATTTTGCTCAGCATAACACCCTCCGGTTCCATCCACGTCGTTGAAATGGCAGGATTTCTTTCCTTTTGACGGCTGCGTAATACTCCATTGTATATATATACCACATCTTTATCCATTCATCTGTGGATGGACATCTTGGCTCTTTCCGTAGTTTGGCTTTGTGGACATTGCTGCTATAAACATCAGGGTGCACGTACCCCTTCGGATCCCTACATTTGTATCTTTGGGGTAAACACCCAGTAGTGCAATTGCTGGGTCGTATGGTAGCTCTATTTTCAACTTTTTGAGGAATCTCCATATTGTTTTCCAGAGTGTCTGCACCAGCTTGCATTCCCACCAACAGTGTAGGAGGGTTCCCCTTTCTCTGCATCCTCATCAACATCTGTCATTTCCTGACTTGTTAATTTTAGCCATTCTGACTGGT